ATCGTTATAAACAAAAGCAAACTTGCGCACAACTATCTCGAATATATTTATTTGCATGTCTTGTTGAATCTACACACAGTTTTTTTTTCTTTCAAGAAAAAAATGAACTTATTTGAAATGAATTTAATTCATTGTTCAATGTTTAAACATCTATCGGTCGACAGGAACACTTCGCACGCTAAAGACTCGTCGCTCAATGATTTTCCACCAAGTGCGTCCTTTCTCAAACAACTAACAGTTGTTGCATGGAAAAATCGATTGCGTGTTCCGCCTGGTACAACCATACTTTTGACATGTAAAACATCTGTTGACTCAACCTCATTTTACTGGAAAAAAGGTAACAAATGAGCATTCAATAAGCCTTGGTATTATATATATATATATAATTACCCTTCTTCTCTCATCTCTGATACTCATTTATTGTTCCATAGGTAACTTGATATTGGATGCAAAAGATATTGAATGGTCAAGTCAAAAGCGTATCTACATTGATTATAAAAATCAACTGCATATCCGAAATGTACAAAAGGAAGATATTGGTATCTACTCATGTTATTATAAAAATCGTCTTGAATCCGTAGTGGGTGTTGAACTCAAACTTGCCTTTGATGGAAAAATGTTTCAACATTATGTACAATTGGGCGGAACTGCATTTTTCATTGTTGTTTTGCTGTTCACTCTTATCATGTCGCTGGAACGACTAAAAATGACCGATAAAACAAAAAGTATTGATAATGAGTGAATATTCAGACTAGTCTATAGCTTCTACAGATGAAGCTCGCGAGTTGCGTGGCGATGGATCTTGTGTTTTTAAAGCAATTTGTCTAGTAACAACGTAAAACTATTACGATAATTTAAATTGCTGATAATAACTATTGAACGTATTGACTTGTGTCATGTTAAACATGTACTTCAGCAACTTACTGAATATTGCCCATGTGTGGTCTTCAAGTATCTCATCGTGTTTCAGATGAGAATCGCCAAATTGAGAAAAATTCGATCTATCCCAAAAATTGAGAGCATCTGCGCGATCGAGACGTTGTCCCCTATCACGTTCGTGAATGCTAAAATTCTTATGTCTATCTCGATAGTCTCCCAGCAACATTGAGACCATTATCTGATCCATGTACCAAGCCGCGTCTCCTTTGCCCATTTGCTGATCATAAACGCCTCGAAACTCGTGTCTCATGTATAAACTAACCAAATCAAATGTCAACGTAGGCATATCAGAATGTGACAGAGTTTGATTAAGGTTAGGATAAATTTTCAACAACTGCTGTTCATACGAGAAATTTGTTGTTCGATTGTTTGGGTCACTGGTAAGAATGTTTAGCAATTCCTTATTTTGTACAGATTCTGACCAAATAGCTCTCCATATACGTTTGCTTAAATAAATATGTCCCATTGGAAACATGCGATAAGATTTCGAACGTCTGTTGAATGAACCGCAGCAAAAAGCGTTTGTAATGAAACCACCAGAATGCTCTGTTGATGGTGTGTATTGTGCAGGATTCAGAGGAAATAAATCGCTATCAGCTGTTATAATATAATCAGTATCAAGTACTAGATTTTCCGGTAAAAATCCACCGAAAATTCGCAGTATTTGACTCATTTTAATTGAGTAGGAAGCATCGCATTGAAAATCAAAAATAGCCGCTCCGGTTTCCAGCAAATATTTTCGTGTTAGTTGTAATCGTGGACTAAGTGCATTCGTTGCGTTAAAATCTCCAACAAATGCAACAATAACTTCATATCCGACTCTCATCCATGCAGCAGTCGTGATCGGAATGTAAAAGTAATATGCATGGGTTGTTGAATGAATTGAACACGCGAAAAATGCAATTTTTCTTGATGTATTATTTCTCATGGTTAAGTACGTTGTTGTAATATTATGCTGTAATATTTGTTGTTGTAATATCATGCTGGAGTTTTTAGTGAAGAAACCAATTTGAGGTATTATCTTTTGAAAAAGAATTAATTTCTTAGTAGACAATAGTAGAATGACAAGTAATATCAAAATTAACTTGTAAATGATTGAGAATGTTGCTTTCATACGAAACTAAAATAAAATCCAAAAATATAAGTTAATAAAAGTTAATAGACTTTAACTTCAATGAACACGTTACTCTTCCATCTAATTCAGATTGTAATTCAGAGACTGATAGCTGAACTCTGATTGAGTTCTGTTAAAGGATAACGGATTTGTAAGATTATAGGAATTGCAATTATCTGTGCGATATGTTGGAACTGACTCTCAAAAAGAAGTTGTAGGGTTCCGATTTTCTATACAGGAAATCAGTGCTAGATTTAGTAGTCACAAAACTCGCTCTTCTATTTTGCTTGAATGACATCTTACAGTGCACACATTTTTTAAAACTAAATTTTAAATTGTTTCTTTATTATTTCTTTTTCTTCTACTCATGAGAGCATGTCAGTGTGAGCAGAAACAATGTGTGTTGTTTGTTTTGTTGGAGTGGGTGTTCATTGCAACCAACTGAAAATGAAGGAAACCCTGTTAGTTTTGTGTAGTTAAATTAAGTTTTTCATAACAAAAATTTCTTTAATAAACAACGAAGATCAGATTGTCATAGTTATTTTTGTTTCTACGATGATATCTGCTAAGGAGCTAGACAAAACATATATGAACTAGAATTTGACGGCATATATTAAAATCTTTCGGTAATAAGTATATAGTATAAGCTCAAATGCAGAACATTTACTTTTATCACGTGAAAAGTGTGTGATAGGTAAATAGCTACAATTCAGTTCATAGTTTGAAGAACAACGTCGAAACTGTTAATAATAGCGAAAGCATTTGTTTCCTTTGCTCTACCTAAACATGACTATTCTAGTCGGCAATCAATAGAGCATTGATTGTAGTCATAATTACATATTCGTGTTGTAGGTTCTTGTCTTGTATTAACGTTCTTTTAATAGGAAAAATGCAGAAGGTTTACCCTATTTCTCTGCCATCGTATACAATTTACCTTTTACATTTCTACATAGCCTTACCGTATCAGTCGCTAGACCAGCAAATCTGAAAAAATTGAGTTATTAGCGGTATAAAAAACTGAGGTCTTCAAAAAATAGAAAATCTATTTTCCATTTTTCCGAATCACAGTTTCGACATGAGTTTTTGAAAATTTTTTCGAAACTAATTTTCTCATTTTTTGGAAAAATAGAAATTAAGTCTTTTTTTCAGATCCATATTCGGGGCATTTTTTCTGCAGAAAATACAAAATAAAAACAAACTTTTTTCTGCTCTTAAGTATGTTAAAATTGCTTTTAGTTTTATTTCTTTGCGACGCACACCGACATAAAAAATTGTTAAACTTCGTCGAAGAAACAGCATAGAGAACTAACATGTTCATTGAAGTTAAATTCTGTTAACTTTCTTTCTATTCTTCTATTTTGCTTCCGAAAGCTAACATCGGCGATGAATTTTCACACTTAAAGATTTTTGAGAATTTCACTGTCGTTTTTATCTCATTTTAGCCGTTCAACGAGAAG